TGCTCTAATATAAGAAAGTAATGTAAGTAACTAAAGCACTTGTGTTATCAAATCGGAAACAACGACGGTACTACAAACACTCAAACCCGAGATAATATAGAAAAGTTAGTGTTTCGACATTTCCCCGGTCAGGATCGAACCCGGGACCTCAGAGATGGCGACATCATGAAAACCGTTGTGCAAGCCACTCGACCATGGAGGCCGTCAAATTATTTAAATAAAAAAAGAGTTTTCTTCCAACTAACCTTTGTGAATTAAAAGAGATCTTAATCCTGCACTGGAAGAGTACATGTACAATTACTTTTTAGTCAATTTAATTTAGTAGCAGTAGAGCTCCTTGTGAAAGAGTTTGTCCAGGAAAGTACTGCTACCTTACCTATTCGCGCCGCCTAGCAGTAATGTGAGCATTACTGCGTTCTGGTTTTGAGGGGTAGGTGTGCTGGTGAAATTACAGGCACATGGGACTTGTCATCTTATATTTCCGGCTTAAAGCTCTAAGTGGCACTGCAACTGTTATGAACAGGCATGTCGCTTACCACCAGTACCACGTCTTATTCATTCCGTCATTTGGTATTGTATAAAAACAAAAATTGGGATAATTTTCAGGTTATTTTTCTCAATATAATTTCGGTGGCTTTTTTATATTTTAAATATTCTAGAATATTATCATGAAACGTAACCTAATATTCCAATTTTGTATCCTAAAATATTATTAATATTTCACGATACTCGCATACTTAATTACTAAAAATTGCCACCGAAATTAGGTAGAGTTAGTTTTATTTGAAAATTACCCAAAAAATTATACGACAAAAAGTGGGCAATGCAAAAAATAAATAAATATAAAAAAAAGTAATTGCGTTTGCACAGTGCTTTAGCATGTCCACACACACAAAGGGAGAACACTCCCAACATTATGAAAATTCTCCCGCCCTGATTCAATTTTATGTATTTAATTTAGCCGTTCTATAATTATTAAAGCATTTAATGAATTTTAGTCCTTTGTATCAAAGCATCGAGTATATAACCATAAATAGAGACGAAATAAGGGCCATATATTCCTTGTAACACATTAGCGATACAACTCTTATAAATATCAACTCCCGTTTGCACTGAATTATAGACAGGCCAACTACTGACCTGTGTGTACGTCTCCGTATATTCCAAAAAATATTCTGTATTTATTGTAATAAAGATAATATCTCTAATAATGCCGTGCTGTTCTATCCTGTGGTGCGGGAAAAACAGCAAAACATCTAATTACAAAACAAACGGAATCAAATTTCATCAGTAATTATATATTAAATATGTAATTTTGCAATTTTCGTCCATTATAGCAAAGCTCAAGTTAAGTGGTCGATAAGAAGTGAAATAGTTGACGACACCCGTCAATTGTTTCGAACTCGGGCTAGCCAATCGGAGCGCAGTTGTCACAGTAATTATATGGCAGAATAGTTTTCAAACAAATTAAATGACATTTCGCCTCTATTTCTGGTTATATACTCGATGTATCATAGTAACAATTAGTGGAATATTACATATACCTACCAACATACATCTATCATCACACTCATTGAATAGGAATGCACAGCCTAATAAAAGGAATCAATATTCATAAAATTCCTAGTTAGTCCTTACATTTTATGGTCTCATTCTGGTCTCTCAAGTAGTCTAACAACCCTGTTCATGTTAATGGTTTCACAACGTTCTGCGTCCTTAATGTTTTACGTAATTATTCTGGCCAAATAAAGGTAATTCGGAGAGCGTGTTCGCACTACATCCGATTCGTATCAGTTCCGAATCCGAAAAATGACCGTCCGAAATTTTTATTTTATTTTATTTTATTTTATTTTATTTTTTATTTTATTTTATTTATTTGGCACAGCTACAGAGCACAAACTAATAAGTAGACTATACAGGTAGATACATAAAAACAGTAAGTAAATTTGCATTCCTTATAACAGCTATGCACAACATTTGAATAAGATAAATTCATTTAAAGGCTTAACTCTTATACATTAAAATTAGATAAAAAAGAGGGGGGAAAAAAAGGGGGGAAAAATACTTAAGTACCTCACTTCTTAAAAGTAATATAACTACACAGGAACATAATTTAATGTTTGTGTACAGCTATTCATAAATATTTTATGACTCTGAGAGAACATATCTACATCTTTACATATATCATTGTACGTTCTACACATCCGAAAGATTGGATTATTATACGTGACATTATTGGTACAGCAAGGTAACGAAAACAGTCTTTGAACACGCATGCTGCCGATCCTAAATGAAATGTGGCTTAACAGTTCACTAGTGTCTAAATTGCAATTAACGATTTTATACAAAGTAGAGACGTCCTGCAGAACCCGCCTAGCATGTAGAGGAGTAACCTTAAAAAAATTGAGTCTCTCCTCATACGTCACCAGTTTACGGCGCATTCCAAATTTAGCGCATAAATTCTTAAGTAGTCTCCTCTGGATAGCCTCGACTCGATCAATATGAATTTTGTAAGATGGAGACCATACTACTGAGCAATACTCCAAGCAGCTGCGTACCAGGGAAAAAAACAAATGTAGTATACTGTCCGACATTCGAAACGGTCTTACCATTCTTTGAATGAATCCCAACATCTTGTTAGCCTTTGATATGATATGATCGTAATGATATGAAAAGCTCAGTTTGGAGTCAAACAGTACACCAAGGTCATTAGTCACGTTTTTGCGCAATAAATTAACACAACCTATACTATATTTGTACTGAATATATGATTTATTTTTAGTAAATGTAATAATATGACATTTTTCGATATTTAAGGACATATTATTTTTAATACACCAATAGTAGAGCCGGTCAAGATCAGCTTGTAGGTTAATACAGTCATTTTCTGTGTTTATTAAGGAATATATTTTTATGTCATCAGCATATGCAAGGCAATTAGAGTCAACAGAGGTAATAAGGTCATTTATAAACAATGTAAATAATAGGGGGCCTAAATTAGAACCTTGAGGAATACCTGATGTAGAGTCAAAAGGAACAGAATCATAACCATGCACAGCAACAATCTGAGAACGTCTATTTAAATAAGACTTAAGCCAACGTAAAAGCGAACCATGAATACCTAGATGATATGCCTTGCTACAAAGTATCCCGTGGTCAACTCTATCAAATGCTTTAGCAAAGTCCGTATATATAGAGTCTACTTGTGTACGTGTATTAAAAGCCATATTTAAGTGATGTGAATAAGTAAGTAAATTGGAAACAGTAGAGCGACCCCTGATAAAACCATGCTGTCTGGGACTTATAACATGTTTCACATGAAAATACAAATGATCAACAACTAGAGACTCCAATATTTTTGCCATACAAGAAATTATACTTATAGGTCTGTAGTTTCTAACATCAGACCGGCATCCAGACTTATGAATTGGCGTAATTCTAGTCAATTTCCAGATCTTAGGGAAGTAACCAGTACTAAGACTTTTGTTGTATATAATACATAGTGGTTTCAAAAAGGCTCTACTACACGACTTTATAAATAACGGAGGTATTCCATCCGGGCCTGGTCCTTTTGATAGATCAAGTGATTTAATGGCTAGTTCTAATTTACGTTCAGATATAACGATGGAAGATATACTATAGTTAGACTCTGGAAAGTCGGAAACATATGGAATCCCAGAAGGTTCAGAGTAGACAGTAGAGAAATGCTTAGCAAATAAATTCGCAATATCTTGCCCAGTTCCTGCGGTAATATTGTTGAAATGCATTTGTTTTGGCAAATAATTAGTAACTCTTTTTGATTTAGCGTAACTCCAAAAAGCTTTAGCGTTATGTTTAAGGCTAGATTCAATATTAGCTATGTATGACTTAAAGCTACTTTCAAAAACATACTTAGCTCTAGATCTTAGCATAGAGTAGGTATCATAATCACGTGGGTTTTCGTACATTTTGAATTTTTTGTGATACTTATTCCTCTCTTTTAAAATTTTAATTAGAGAATATGGGAACCAATTTGGCCATTCGTTTTTAGGGTAGTACTTTGGAGTATACATATCAACTACTTCCCATAAGTTTCTATACAAAACATCCAAGTAATCGTCACAGCTATAATTAGCATATTTCTCCCAAGGAATTTGAGATAGCGCTCGTATACATGAATTAAAATCTGCCTTGCGGAAGTTATACTTAACAGCCTTATTTTCTCTTAAAGATGAAAGTTTAAAATACCTAATGGGGAATATTATTTCCAAAGGAGGATGATGTTCATCACTGCGACTCAAACCTTGGGATTCAGCAACATTGCATAATGTCTCAGAGTGAGTAAAAACGAGGTCTAAGATTTTATTGTTATTATTCAAAATATGATTATACTGGGCAAGGTTAGCTCTGCTACTAAAGTCCCTAAGAGCGCAGATTTTACGATTACTAATTGAAATTACGCTAGACGATTCATGCCAATTTAGTTCTGGTAAATTGAAGTCGCCAACAATGAGTGTTTGTTGACTACCTGACGACATAATAATCTGTTCACAATTATCTAAATACTCTACAAAATCCTCTTGACTCAAATATAAAGAAGGTAAATAAACAGTACATACATTCAAAGTAAAGTTATGGAGATGGACAGCAACCCAAACATCCTCGACGGAACTCTTCCACTGAGCTTTTTCAGTACTTAAAATATGTTTGTTTATAGCAATTAATACCCCACCCCCATGTGCCTTATTGTATTTACTTTTAAACTCATAAGAACGATCTCTACGATACACAGTATAACGATTATCAAACAATTCATTACTCGACACTGAATCGTCAAGCCACGTTTCTGTTAAACAGACTATATCAAAATTACTAGTTAATATTGAATTAAGTACAACAGTAGTTTTAGATTTTAATCCTCTCAAGTTTTGATAAAAAATCGATAATTTATCCATAATTAGAAAAAAAAAATCACAAAGAACATACAGTAGTAACCAAATATATATTAAAAATGCACATTATTAGACTAAGCTGTCCAAGGTCTGTTGGTTCTTAACGTGAATAAATCTTGATACTTCGTCCTTCCGAACGAAAATACGGCCATTACGAACCCACAAAAACTTATATGACAATTCCTTAACTTTGATGCGAGTGGCGTAGTGTAGGGCTTTATTTACCGGCGACAAATGCTCCGAAATATAAATTATAGAGGGATCGCCTCCGAAGCCCAATGACAAGGAACTAAGCTTACTGTTGGAGTGAGCCTTGTTGTAGCGTACCACAGCAGAGTAAAACTCATCACGACGACGAGTACTACATAGTTTAACTACAATGGCTCGCGGTCTCTTACTATCTTTATTCATGCTGGCTACTCTCGTGCAGTTCAGTATATCTCTATCGTCAAGCCTGAATGATACGACGTCAGCGACTTTCTTAATAACTTCAACAATATTTTCATCTTTACGCTGTGGGACTCCTTGAATTTCAAGATTGGTCTCACGTAAATGCTGTTCCAAATTATTTAAGCGCTCAGTAAGTGTCGTTACCGTTGTGCTCAGGTGTGTTGTATCAGATTTGATAGTCTTGTAATTGTCCATAATAGTGTTTGTAGTTTTCAACAGGTCATCATATTGCTGAGTAATGAATTCCACTGATTTTTGTAGATCATTCAATTGACTTTTAATAGGGGAAAATTCAGAACGTATGGCAGCTTTAATCTCGGTCCTTATCAATGCGGCGATATCAAGATCAGGCACAGGGATCATATTATCTCTAGGTGACAAGTGATATTCGCATTTTTTCGGATAAGTGCACAAGCGACATCCGAAGTGGGTCCCAGTTTTCTAAATTTGTAGTCTTGGATTCACAATGCGTTAAAGCGCTCAATGTGTAAAGATTCGAGGTAGAAAAAATTTAAAATATCAATTAGTAAGAGCTGTGATGTCTTTTTGACCGACTTTAAAAAAGGAGAACGTTCACAATTCGACAATTTTTTTGTTAAGTATATGTTACACAATTACTCTGATATTTGTGAACCGGTTACGATTATTTTTTATTGGTAAAGGGGTACCTCAGTAGTGATCCCATTTAAATGTGAAAAAAATAATGCTATCCTTAAGGGTGGCAAATTATTAATTTCACCCACTTTCCGTTAACCAACTCAATAACATTTGGCAAATAGACGCTATTCCACAAACCTTTGAGCTCGGTTTTTTATGAAAAAGTTATGAAATGTTAGTTATGATTTTTTATAAGATATAACTGAATTATTCTAATGTTCTATATGTATATTTTGCGTGTTATGCACTTTGGTGTCATGGCTTATTAGGATGCGGTCGCTCACCACAAAATATGGTCCTGGCAACAAAGCAGCGCACACACAGATTGACACAAACGGCCATTTGCAAAGAAAAAGAAGCACATAAATAAAAAAGTGCTTCATTTGTTAATATATAATTATACATTTTTTGTGTTGTTTTTAGTGTTGGAAGTTAAATAACCTCTAGAATAAAGTTCGAAATTTATGAAGTAACAAATGAATTTGACTTCTGTGCTTCAGCCAGTAGATGTATTCATTTAAACGAACGATGTTGGATTTTGACTTATGTGCTTCTAGAATTTTAATGTCTAACATTTATGTTTATCTCTGCCAATACGTGTTTGTGTCAATCTTACCGATTCATGTTGTAGAACATCATATAAAAAGCATCTACATTATGTGCTTATATTTAAATGTTATAACCCTGTGATGTGATTGTAAATGTTTGTTTCTGTCTGTATTTGTGGTGAATAAACGTTTTCATCTATCTAACGTGAAAATACTGGGAATATCAGAAACTGTTTTTTTTTAAAATATATCAACTAACGAGATGAACAAGTAGTGCGCCTGGTGGTCAAAGTCAAACAATAATTTATTCCATAGATAAAATTTTTACACTTGAAAACGTCATTTTTTAAGATACTGCTTGTTCACTACGCTGATCCCATCCCATCCCCATGAAGAACGAGCAAGAAACTCTAGGGATTGCTCTTTTCAAATAAACTTAAATGCTATAGAATACATTTTGAATCAGATTTGTGTGGAATCTAGACTCACGTTGTCTTTACATCTTTATCTAACACGTAGCTTACAATTTTGTAATATGACTTTCCAATTAAAATACTTTTAATGTAAGTTTTAAACTTAGGAAATGATAATCTTAATATATGCTCCGGAATCTTCAGTTCACCATAAAAGAGTCGTTTACTTTAGTTAAATATTGGTACCATAAGTTTGGACTTAGTTCTAAGGTTAATATTATGGATATCTTTCTTCTCAACGGAATTATGTATATTTTTATGTATATGTATTGTGATGCCACAGTCACGATACCAGTCTCCATAAACTTTTCTCTAAGAGAAATCCGAGAGCCTAAACGGTACATAGAACGAATGGTGGTGGTAAGCGACATGCCTACTCATAACAGTTGCAGTTAAATTCAGAACTTTAAATTGCAAAGATCTGAGTGGCACTGTCACTGCGTCAGTCACCTTGAGAAATACAACTGACAAGTCCTTTGTGCCTGTAATTTCACCAACACCCTTCAAAGCAGGAAAGCAGTAATGCTTACATTACTGCTTGGCGGCAGAAATATGGTGGCGGTACTTTCCGGACGAACTCTCTCAAGTGCTGCTAAATATGCGCTCGCGATAGACATTCGCCATGATTTTTCAAAATTACAGTTGGGACATTTTCACATAAAAATTGTGTCCCAGAATACTACTATCGCCTAAAGGACTTTATGAATTTGGTGCCACACCACTTTTAGCACATAAATCTTTAGGTATCTCATTTTGTTAATTAAAATTTAGATTTTTAATTTAGATTGCTTGCGTTAATTAGCAGGCATTTCTTGTTATTTATGTAGTTCCTATAGTATAATATAATGTATTAGGCAATTATGATTGATTTGTCTGGTCTCAAATTGTAATTACCTTGTGACGATGCGACCTCCTTCATCATCATCTTTTCTCTGGTTCCTGGCCACTTACTTACTTTTACTTTTTTAATTTTGAATCGTTCTGTAATTTTAAATAGAAAACCACCGCGAGACTCAGACATATTAACGAAAATAACGGATAACTCACGCATTTAAGTCGAATTTTTGCTCGGCATGTTTCGAACCAATTCGTGGTCCTTAATTATGAGATTCCATCAAGTCACCGCCGCTAGATTCAACTACGGTTTTCTGATATTCTAAGGCTGAATTCATATTACTGCGGAAGGGAATGGAAAAAACTTTTGTAACAAAATTTTACGAAATTTTATGTCAATTGTGTAACGCTGCTGGAATTCCTGAGACTAAGCGAGAATTATCCATAAGAAGTGTGACCTGTTTTTTTGGGGTCATATCGAGTTATACAAAATTATGCAATTGACATAAAGTTCATAATGCTATGGTTACAAAATATGACTTCCATTCCGTTCCGTTGAAAGGGGTATGCAAAACAGGCCACTTGGAGCTATGACGCAACGTAACGTATGAAGTCGTAAACTGCAAGGCTTACGTACAATAAACCTAACAGTTTACGTATTCTTTTTGTCGGAGAATTTAACCCTGCATTGTAAGGGAGTACCCTGTTTTTCGTGTATTGTTATTAATAAATGCTCAATGGATTTTGACCTAAAATGAGTTTTGCGCAACCTTGCTAAAAAACCCTTTCAATCTTAATATTAATTGTTATACTAATAAAAACAAGGTCCGACGACTTGTCACGCGCTGTTCTAAAATAAATTAAAAAAAATACCGGTTCATAGGAAATTTAAAAATCACGTTTTCAGTAAGTGTGGGTCGAAAATTCGTTTTATGTTCGATTTTCGGTATGTTCGACAGGTTTACCGAACATTTGTATTCGGCCAACCTTTGCCGACTGTTCCGAATATTATATTAGTTAATAGTTTTACTAAAAATTAAGTCGTTTAGGTATATACCTATCTAACTTTTTATTAGCGTACGAAATATTGTTCAACGATTTTATAAATTAGATAGCCGCATGTCGATTAAGTTCAAGTAAGTTATTGAAAGCATAAAGTTATAGATGTTACCATAAATCGTTTATTTATTTTAATCAGATTCAACATGGCGCTCAATTCTCACCGACTTGTTATTTTCCAGGACAAAGCGTGTAAATTGTTTACCGAACATTTGGTCGACTAATCGTATTGGTAGAAAACCGATGCGGCCCATCACTAGTTATCACAGAGTATGTTGAGTTAAAGCTAATTCGTCGACGAATAAATTAAGGGATTAATTATCATTCGTTCATTCATTCACTCTGTGTATTCCCTTAATTTTTTATTTAGTCGACAAATTGGCTTTAGCTCAACATGTTCGGTGCGAATTGAGCGCCATGAGTAAACTAATGCTTACTCTGTATCTTTTTTTCTTAATGAATGGCTTGTGAGACTAATTTATTGTCTCAAGTGTCCGTTACATGTTAGTTTCATCAATATCATGGAGGGAGTGTATATAAAAAAATCGTGTTTGACTCAGATGAAGTATCGGTCTGTGATACTTACATTACTGTTCTGTATTGTCATTGTAATTTTTAATGTGCAATGAAGAATATGTCGTTCAGTCAATGTAGAGTAGTATTTTGGACAGTCTTATTAAATGTTTAAGGGCAAAGTGAGATGTTGCCTGTGTGTCAAGAAACGCATCAAAAAGCATAACAAATTTGTATTTGCACTATAGCACAAAATAAAAACAGTCCAAACCTTTTTAAGCCGAGGACAACATTGAAATTAAAAATTTACTCGTGTATAAACTTTATGGCGCCTAATTTGCATTTCAAGTGTTGATCCGGACGTGTACGTTAAAAAGGAGAATGAGATGAAATAAATATGCTCTTGAATATGAGGGCGTTATGTTCCGAAATTAAGTAAGGGTTATAACATGACGTAACAGCCACAATATAAAAGGGTTGAAGGTCATAATTTCATAGAAATATTACTGCTAATGCTTAATTTTTAAATTAAATTCTTGACGGCAGAAATTTGTAAGGTGGCAGTATTTCCCTAAACGAACTCTCACACAAGGAGCTCTATTGCTAAAAAAAATTTTAGAAAGGCCATAAATAAGAGTACATAAGTATATGAAAAATGATAATAACGTTAAATTCGCATTATCTCAAAATGTCGATCGATTTGCGTGATACCTGTATGGTATTCACAAGCAATGTACTGATATTGGAAAACGAATAATATATACGACATTTACTAGTTATAGGTAGAAAGATAGGGGTAAGTTTTCGAGGGTACCTTATTGCTTAGCAATATGTAAGGAACGCAAAAAATGGAGGGCTGTATTATAAGACGACTATGGTAACTCCAGACAAACGTAGCAGCGCGACTTGTATGTGTGCGCACGCCTGCAGCGCGCCGTGGACGGACGGTAACCGAGATGGGCGCGCCCGGGTTTTAACCTGGCGCTTTGCTAACGCCGGGTTTTAATCGGGTTAAAACCCATTAACGCCTGAAATTGAGGGCGTTTTGTTCAAATCACTCTCCCGTCACTTGATATTGTAAAAAAGGCCGGAAATAAGTAATGCTGACATTACTGCTTGGCGGCAGAAATGGGTAAGGTTAGGTTAGGTTAGACATTTAAATAAAATAAAAAATAAAAAATAAAATAAAATAAGACGAATTCCCTAGACGAACTCTTTCACAAGGAGTTCTACTGCTACTAATCTACGGCTTTGGAGGGTAAGGGTGCTGGTGAAACTA